GAATTTCCAAATGCAAATATTCTTCTCTGCTTATTTCACACATTAAAATCCTTTAGAACCAATATTAGTTGTGAAGCAATGAACATTAATTCTGAAGAACGAATGTTATGTCTTAAGGTACTGCAAGAATTAACTTACTCAAAAAATGAGAATGAATATTTTCAACACTATAATGTACTAATGGGCTTTGATTTTCAAAAAGTGAAAGATTATTATAATAAGAATTGGCACTGTATTAGATCAGAATGGGTTGAAGGATTCAAAAAACAGTGTTTGACTTTCAATGTAAGTACTACAAATGCACTAGAGAATATCAACCAAAAAATCAAACAAGTTGTAAGCAAAATGAGTCCCATAAAGGTTTTCTATGAAGATTTGATGTTATGTTTGCAAGTAATGCAGGATGAAAGAACAACCAGGGCTTACAAAATCTCCAATACAAAAGTTGTTCATAAATATGAAAAGAACTCTATTCAGGATAAATACTCAAATTATGTTACACCCTATGCATTCAAATTTATTGAGAGACAACTTGAAAAAGCTCAGGCCCTAACGTTGGATTGTGATGACGGTCAATACTTTTTTCGTTCCAGTTATGGGGAAATAAAAGTAACTGAAACAGAATGTACTTGCTCATTCAACATAAATATGCAATTACCATGTTGTCACATTTTTTCTCTTCTATCATCAAAAAATGAAGACATGTTCAATGAAAATTTAATCAATGAAAGATTTTGTAAACAATATTACATAAAACATGAAACTGGTTCATATCAACTAAATCAAAATGGTGATAATGTTGATGAAAAGGCCATTGAAAGCAATAATATAAGCATTATGAAGGTAAATAAACAAAAGTCTATATTATCTCAGCATGAGAAATATAGAAAAAGTATGGATATGTGCACAAAATTGTCATCATATCTATCTGATTATGGACATGAAACATTTTCTGCTGTTTTTGAGCAGCTCAAAACTGTTACCAACTTTGTTAAGAACCGAAAACAGTTTCTTATAGTAGAATTACAGTCAGAAGAAGGAATTATAAATTGTTCTGAGCATGTTGATCGTTTGACGGATATGGTGACAATTGAAGAAGAAAAAATAAATGATGAAAATGATAATGAAGTAATAATGAGTCTTATGAAAGAGCGCGAAGCTTTAGAGACTAATGAATTATCACATGGCCTGAGAGAAGGTACTGAAGGTAGTGATTTACCAAATGCGAGGACCAATAATGTTATTGATATGCAAAAAATCTGTGAAGATGTTGAACTTGAAGACGAAAAGAAAACAACTACCATTTCAAGCATTAAAATAAACCCTCTGAAAGCAAAAACTGTTGGTAGACCGAAAGGTCACTTGAATACAGTGATAGGGTTACCAAAACGCAAGAAGACGAGTATTTTTGAACAGCAATCTCTTTACTCCAAAAGAAAACGAATTTTGCAAGCTATATTTCCTTTACGTGATCTGGAATATATTAACGATATACTCCAAGATAAGTACTTAATTAAAGACAGTGATTTGGAAAGAAGTGTTGATGAATTCGATTGTTTTTTATTAGAACCGGAAGTTGACACTAAATTGGTGGAAAAATACTTTGGGATAACAGCATATAAAAAGTTGCTGCAAATAAAAAATAGCAAGAAAAAGAAGGAAAATATCAAGTATTTCTGCCTGATGTGCAAAAATTCACTTGGAGAGAAAGCTATCAGATGTGATTCTTGCTTGTTGTGGGCAGACATAACTTGCACTAATATGACTAATAATAAAATTCCTTATAAATCAAAGAAATGGTTTTGTGTTTCTTGCATGAAATAAATCATTCCGTCTCATTTCTGAGTTATAGTTTCATCAGCCATTTTCAGTTAGTTTGTATTGTTTTTGTCTAGCTTCAATTTATAAGAATATTTCACTACAAGGAATTACAGAAAAATAATTGGGCCGGTGTGCTAAAGGAAAGACGAAATTGAGTGAAGCCTGATAATATATGTCTCATGAATAAATATACAGGGTGTTTATTAATTGGGTGCCGATGATACAAGGTGTGAATCCTCGAGTGATTTTATGGAGAAAAGTTTATATCAACATATGTCCTAAACCTTTTAGTTTCTGAGCTACAGGGTGTTAAAATTTTGAGGAAAAAGTGTCTTTTTCATCATAACTTTTTATCGCTCCTAGATCATTTCATGAAATTTCGTACACGCACTTTGTCATTATTGGGGAGCAATTTTCGACGTGTAAATTTTTTTGTAATTTTCACCAGTGACGCCCGTGCGAGGTTTAAACTGATATTTTTGAAGAAAAAAGTGGTACGCTACTGATTTTTCTGAAAATTAAAATTACTTTTGGAATCTTCATTTATTGGAGCAAATTTGATTCTGAGACTTACTTTCATACGACGTACCGTTTTCGAATAAAAAAATAAAATCTAAAAAGTTTACTCATCATTTCTTCGAGATTGTTCTTATTATTTTGTTAAAATTCACTAGGCACCCACTATGAATGGAAACACAATTTGTTTTGGGACGAAACTCAAGTATTTACTTTTAGTGATGTTCACGTAGGCTCGATATTGAATGTTTTGATTGAAAAAAAAACTGTACGTCTCTGATTTTAACACCCTGTAGCCCAAAAACCGAGAGCTTCAGGACATGAGTTGATATGAACTATTCTCCTCAAAATTATTCGAGGATTCACACCTTTATCGGCACTCAATTAATTAACACCCTGTATAGGTGATCTTTTATTATACCTACTGAGTCCATACAAAATTCACGAAATAATGACCTTTTTATTCTCAGTTTTGAGATGAACATATCCGTTTATTTACCTTTTGTACCTGAGTACTTGTTTTGTTTTGAGTGTGATATGTTTGATATTTTCATCTACTGCTAATCAAAATTTGAGAGAGTGCCACTAATATTTCACGTATTAGACTGAATTATCCCAAATCAAATTCTTAGCAGCAGATATATTATTATAATGTCCATTTATGTACTTGTTTCGTTTTTAGATACATAGGTACCTTCCTATTCGTTTTTCATTTGATATCGTTAATGTTTTGTTAATTTTGTTTAATGAAAAAATAATATCTCAAAACATGAGTTTTACTACCTACCTACACATTATATCTTATTCAGATTCACCAGTTTTTTTTTTCATATTAATATCCTATCCCTATATCTTTGGATTTGGGAGCAATTTTTCATTGACATTTTATACACTTCATCAAGAAATGAAGGGTGTCCGAAATAAACGAATTATTGGGTTGCAATCGATTTTTTCAATCGGTAAGAGTTTTATTATTAGGAATTCAGCAATACCATCAGGTTTGATGGAATTATGTCAAACTGCGATAAATAAGTTACAAGGGGAAACTCATATATCCTGAAATATACTTGAAATTATACCACATAATATGCCGGGTAGGTTCTCTATATAGGGTCATCATTGAAATACGTTGGATCAAAATTGATCGGAAGTGTTTCCAAGATATGTTAGTTTTTCAAACAGGACACCCTGTATATTTTCATTTTCTTCCTTTTCAATTTTACACATTAAATTCGTTGAGCATGCCATATACCTAAGTTCAAACACCCTGTATAGTAAAAGAGGGTACCCTTTCTCCTGGTTTTCCAAGAGAATATTTAAGAGATCTCAAGTATATGTAGTAGATTTGTGGTCAAAATGCGGGCGCCCGGTCATATAAATATTTGAAGTCGGAATCCGGGCGCCCGGTCAAATAAATATTTGTTGTCCGAATCCGGGCGCCCGGTCAAATAAATATTTGTTGTCCGAATCCGGGCGCCCGGTCATATAAATATTTGAAGTCGAAATCCGGGTGCCCGGTCAAATAAATATTTTTAGTGAGAATCCGGGCGCCCGGCCAAACAAATATTTTTAGTGGGAATCCGGGCGCCCGGTCGAATAAATATTTGTTGTCGGAATCCGGGCGCCCGGTCAAATGAATATTTGTTGTCAGAATCCGGGCGCCCGGTCAAATAAATATTTGAAGTCGGAGTCCGGGCGCCCGGTTCGATAAATATTCGTGTCTGGACTCCGGGCGCCCGGTCGAATAGATATTTGTGGTTAGAATCCGGGCGTTTGATTAAAAAAAAAAAGATTCGAAGCGAGAATCGAACCCCAGTCCCCTAGCTCATGAAGCCACGACGCTGTCCATTGCTCCATTAGATTGCTGAGAAATATCGTAGCAAGCTGTGTTCTTCATCGAACCAGGCGCCCGGTCCGATAATTATTTGTGTCTGGAATCCGGGCGCCCGGTTCGTTAAATATTCGTGTCAGAACTCCGGGCGCCCGGACCCATAGACACTCCCGGAAGAAAATGCTATGTATTTTGAACACACTCTTGTTACGAACAGACTTCTAGGTTAAGTTGGTACTACAAGATAGGTTGGCAACACGGAATGTCCAACTGTCAACAGTGTCAACCTGTGACGGCTGTATCATGTATTATGTATGTTCGAGGTAGAACAATGCCCGTCTTTAGATTTATCGTTAATTAATAAATCTGTGTTAAGTAGAATACCAATGGTGTATTAATTCCTAGTCTAATACACAACAATCCATGAGGATTTGGTGGCATGATACGCATGCGCCATGCGCTATTATAGTAGTCATCAAAGACATGCGTTTCGGTGGACAATGACGTTTACTAGCCTTTCAATCAAAGCAGTATGTGTGTTCGTTTCAAAACTTTTCCTTATGAATAGTCATTTGTCTTCAAAAATCGGCTTCATGTTTCGCTAAGGAAACAGATAGAGATTATCCGTATTGACTATTAATACGTATATGATAAAATGTTTGCTGAATGAGAGTTTGAAATAGCCAAACTTTCAAAAATATAAATTTAGTTTCATGGTGAATATTTATTTGTGTTTCATTTAATTTAATTAAAGACGCAGAACTTATAAGAACATATCTCTGTTTTGTGGCCCAATTCAAGTTGAGGTTTTGATATTTTTTTTGTTTTGCAGGTACCAGGGCAGAAATTAATGAATATGTCAAGTGTAATCTGGGAAAAGTGAAAGCCAACGCTATTGTTACAAGACGCGGTTATGGCAATAATGACACTCAGATAAATTCTTACATAAATCTGTTTATGTATGCGCAGACGTTTTATGGAAGGAAATTCTCGGATGAATTCAGGTAAGAATGATTGTCTTTGGACGTTTTCGTGGTTCTCAATGTCATGATACAACTAACTAACACCTGACACGTAAACAGTGCTGCCAGTTATTGTGAATAAAATGTCCAATGTAGAATTCATTGGAAAAGTCGCCAGGAGTCGCTAGTGAACAAATTTTTTCGTGATTTAGTGAGATTTTCGATCATCCGGTTTTGATTTCATGCAATTGTCATTCTGGTCACAGATTCACACGATCAAGATATCTCCAAAAAAAAATTGAAAATTTCTGACATGTTGCATTATCTAAAAAAAAAACCGCTTTTACAATGTGGAAATCGATAGAGTTCTGACATTTCGCAAATCAATTTCAAATATTGCTTTGACCTACCCTGAAAACGCTAGATTTAGAGACAAATCACTGAAACGTCACCACTGCGGCACTGCACGTCAATGGGCCTTTCCAGTATCGTAAAATTTGACCCTTTTTCACTATAATGTCATGAAAGAAAGTTAAAAACGTTATCCTGACCATTTATTCATCATGAAAATCGAACGACAAATGAATTATTTAATATTGAAAATGCCATTTCAGTACCTTTGAATTCAAACACTACTGAGCTATTATGTCAGTGAGTGTTTGCAATTTGATTGGTTGAAGTTCTGACGGCTGGGAATTACTCCGCTGTTGCCAGATCTCTATGAAATCCTTGAATTGATCCTATGTGCAAGATGGTGCAAGGAATGCAATGATTCGAAATTACTATGTAGTAGAGATTGGTTGATTGGTAATCACTGCTGATCACATTCAATTTATTCTGAACTCCAAAGTATTTCATTCGTTTCAAGATTAGCTAAAGGATAAAATGTAATGCATTATGTATTATAAATACCAAAATGTTAGACCATTCAGAGGTATCACAGCCGATTCAAATATTTTATTGTAAAGTAAGGTTAGGTAGATTATCAAATTATCAGGTAAATTGATGATGAATTCGTAAGGTATATTGTCAGTGTCAGGTGATTTTTGTTTTTGCATCTACTGAGGACAGAATAAATTTCTTCTGTGCTAAGCGGTGGGTCGAGATAAGGGTGATGGACGTCAGAAAAGCCATTAATTATTTTCTGTCTAGGTGGAAAAATATTTGTATAGTTCTCCTCCCAAACCTGAGTGGGCAAACATTTACTCAGTTTTTTACCCCGAAATTGGTTGAGTGTAAGCCAGAACTCTTTTGGATTATGTACACCTGATAATTCAGAGATAATTCCATCTAACAGTAAGACGCTTTTTAATACTCAGTTTGGTTTCAGTTATGTTGAAATTTCGTTGACTAATTGTTGTAATCAACAAATTGAACAGTGTTACTATATCTCAAGCACTCATTCCCGGAAAATGTTTTTGCTAATCTGGCAACAATGTCTAGGAGAGAAAGAGATGAAGCAACTGGCGCTAACACAATGTTGCCAAGTTGAAAATACCTCAGTCCCCGCATAACTTCACTATTCTCATTTCTCAATATTATTGACAAGAAAACAGTGATGCTTGTACTCAAATCAATAGGATTAGAAGCAAGTAAGCAATTTATTATTGATTGATTCAGAATTTGTTTCTTTCCCTATGATAGATTGGAATATGCGAGTACATAAGCTTGAAAGTACTCCACTGGAAGGGTTTTGAAACTGAATGTCATGAATATCTGCACTGTTATTCAATACAAAATGAAATTCCACTTACAATTTTGAATAATTCTCCAACCGAAATCAACCAACTAACTGATCATGCAATGCAGAAAAAATCGAGGAATGAATACCCGACTAATCGAAGCCTTCTGTCCAAATTGGCAACGTTGTCAAGTCCATCTTGCATTTTTTTGGCACTCGCAAGAAGGACGGGAATTACCAACCCAAATTGCTCGCGCACACGTCACACGTTTCACGGCAATGTCTGATCGTTAGGATTCGATCGTTTATTTTGGAGTTTTCAATAATTTTTTATAGGATGAATTCAATCAAAAAGATATTTTACGGTATTACAGAGCAATATATTTCAATAAATATTTGTCTAGAAATGACTGGAAAGTCCCATTGTGATCAAGGTAAACATTCTGCAAGAGGGGGAACAGTGGTAAAGTTGAATAATTGATAATCCATCACGTCATAGCCTGCTTTAAAGAGAAAAGCCGCGGTGAAGGCAGTCTGGCAACACTGTTCAAATGGTCTTCCTCCGGCCACATATACGACATAAAGGTTGTAGATGCAACCGAGTGAATTTGTCTAGTTATCAAGAGTCAATTGATTTTTTATCTGCGAAATATTGTTGAATGTCGGTGAAAAGTGTGAGAAATATTCTAGTGATCGAGTTTTGAGTGAAAGGGTGTTTGTGTGTTTTTATGAAAGTCCAACCCACAATAGTTTTTGAATTGAGGTTATGTTTCATGTTGTCTTTTTTATGAAAGCAAAGTAAGTAATGTCAACGACAAGATACCGGTTAATTGTTGTGTAACATGGTGTGAGTCAAATTACGCTTCGGTATAAAAGTATGTTTTGATTTTCGAATTTTCTGAAGATGAGGAAAAATTGAACCCCATCTGAACCCTCTGCAGTGTGTGCAATTCATTTCGTTGAAACATATATATTATAAGAAAAGCTACATTTTCGCTTAGATACTTTGGATGATTTCTGAAAAATTTGCCGAGAAACAGAAAACCCTTAGTTAAAACAGTAGTTCCTCAATTTTTTCAAATTTACCAAGTCTTGTTTCCAAACCTCCTACATCATTGAGAAGAAAGGCGTCAGAAATGTTTAGTTATTCATAATAAAAAATGTTTGATTTTAAAAAATACGACCTTATTATCAAAGTTACGAGCAGCTAGTTGGGAAATATGTATAGAAATTGAAAATTGTTCGAATATAATAATGTAAGACAGAGAGTGGAATTTATGTTATTCAATTAGGTTCCCAGTCAGATGTTTATGTATTGAAAATATATTCCCAAGTTGTGGTATTGAATGAGGTGCAGGTCAAAGTTTTACTAGGTGATGATAAGTTGGAATTCAATGTTCCAAAATAGATCTTCCTGATGATATGAAATTGAGTAGGTGGTCACAATTTCAGAATAATATTCTAGCAAGATACAGAAACAGCTCAGATTTCACTGAGAATCAGACCAAAGAACAAAAGATTATCTCATTTGATTACTAAATAGAGAAAAGCTTGATATATCTGAGAAAACCCTCACATCAGTATCTTGTAAAAATTGCTTATATAATTTTGAAATCTTGAAATCATTCAAATCGATCACTTGAAACAAGTTCTTCGTATAAACATTGAGGTTACTTTCATTCAAGCTAACAAACGATAATTGCATCAACTATCTTCTACTTGAATATTTCTCCAAGCAATAAGGTTCATAATAATAATTACTTGTCCAACATATCTGCTGTTTATCTGTTTATCAGAAACTCGTCGGCAACAAATACAAATACCTATAAGATCCTGCCTCACAATTTTTGAACTTGAATGGTCGATAGAACTAGCCGTGGTCGTCAGTAGAGAGTAGACCTTCCGGATCACGGCGATGCAGTGTTGCATTTGTCTCACCGCGGCTTGTTATAGAGCTGGCTGTGATCACGTATATCTTTTGAACTTTGTGCTGGTCGACTAGTTAGAGGAAATATAGTTCAAATATATTGGAAATCCTGTATGGCGGAGTTCGTGTTGAATAAGAATAATAATATTCGGTTGAATCCTAGGGATATAATTTTGATCCCCGAGTACCCAGTAAACACAACGCGTTTCAGAAACATTTCAAAAGTTCCCTAATACATGTCATCTGAAACATTCCAATGTTAACATAAAGGAAACATTTCTGAAGCTCTCCATGCTATGTGTAATATTTCAGAAATATGTCAATACATACGTTCCATATTCGTTACGAAAATTCTCTGCTTGAAATGTCTCACGTGAATCTCTAGACGTGTCATCTGAAACATTCCAATGTTGACATAATGGAAACATTTCTAAAGTTCTCCATGTTATGTGAAATATTTCAGAAATATGTCAGTACATACGTTTCATATTCATAACAAAAATTCTCTGCTTGGAATGTCTCACGTGAATCTCTAGACGTTCCATCTGAAACATCGCCATGTTTACGTAGGTATGTGTAATATGTTCGAAACGTTTGCATTGTACTCTAATACGGGTCAACGATAATATCTCTAAATTAACCTCTAGAAAACATTTCAGAAATGATATAAAACTATCGAGTGTGAAACGTTAACCACATATTTTGAAACTTCGTGTGCTGACGTTGCCAGGTTCATGATTCCGTTTTATTGGCTATAATGAATCACATGCTCGAGTGTGACCAATGAAGACGGGTGGTTAATCTGGCAACATCGGCATGTGACAGTCCGAACCAAGCACGGCCGGCTCCGACTATCCGGTCCTAGAAGAGAGCAATGAACTCAATATATTGAGTTCATTGGAAGAGAGTGGGTGAACAGTGAACACGAAGACGAAGCCATTCTGCCATTCTTCCTTTCGTTGTTCTGTTTCTTTTCTGTGAAATAGTTAAGGTGAAGAGGTGAAGCCTAGGTTTACCTTTACATTCACTAAAGATTCGGTGCTTGATTGAATGGAATGAAAATCAGCCCAAAATTGAATACATAAAAGGTAGGGCGGTTGTGGCAAAAATAACCTCAACTTTTTTGTACATTGTTTTGTCGGTCTTAACATTTTTTCAGGTGCTGTCAAGAAAAGGTTTCCTATTACGGATATGGAATTTGAAAAATATGTAGCAGCTTGGTTTCGCCAATCAGATCTCAGGTTAGCCAGAGATAAGGAGAATATTAAAAGAAATGGTTTTTTATTATAATTTCATATTTTTTTTTCATAGTATTGAATACACCAAAACTGCAGTTTTATTTTATTCACCCTGCTTTTTTTTCATATACCTATATTAATACCAATTGACTCTATTACACATGATGTTAATTAGGGTTCACTTCCATTATGAGTAAGTGATCTCAATTAACTGCTGTGATAATGTAGTCTTGGTATGAACTGAAAATGGTTTCATATTCGAAATGTTCCAGTATCAGCAGAAGTGAGATGTATCGGAAATGTTTCAAAAAAGTCATGTTGGAAATGTTGCGAATAGTGCAAGAAGGAAATGTTCCAAAGACACTATTTGTGAAACGTTTCATGAAATGCAATAGTGAAATATATCAAAGATGTTTATGTATACTGTTTATTAAATTTTTCATAGAGATTTGGGTTGAAACATTACACATCCTAGGTCATTTATGGTCTCTAGAATGTCTCATGAATGTTTCGTAGTATATAGGTGGAATGTTTCAGCAACATAAAATGGTTTACTGGGTAATAATGATATTATATACTACCATGTTGTATAAATAATATTTCTGTTCCTGATGTTTGTGAGTTGAGTTTTCAGTGTTTTTCCTTCAGTTTTAGCATGTTTTCATCTGAGCCTCCTTTCGCCGATCTCATATTCCAAGATGCGACTACGCAGCTCAAAGTGATCGAACCGAATAAAAGGCATTATTCGGATTATCTGGGAAGTGATTTTATGAGGGCGAGACGAATAGTCGATTGCCACGCGAGTAGTGATAGAATAAGTGCCTCTCTAGTTTTATTGACCATTCCAATTTTCTATTTTTTATTCGTCTAATTTTTAAAAACCAACAGTGACTGTCATGGATCCTTGTTGGGGACACAATTCTTATTGATTGTTATTGATTTTCCTGTGGGAAAAAGTTTTTTAGCATTTTGGCAATTTTTTATCAATGAGTAGGTTTTATACAGTATGTATCTTATCTTAATAACTTACCACCCCTGTGAAACCTGCATTTTTCATCCATCTTGATAAGCTCTATTTCCTTAGGAAGGCATTTGAAGTGCACATTCAAAATAATTTCAAAAAGTACTACATATTAGGGATTGTCCAAAAAAATTAACAAACGACGGATTCTCATTTCGAATCAATTATTATACCGGGTCTTTAACAATGATTGATTGCCTCGTGACCATTTTTGATGCGTCGTCTCTTTTCTACCCACGTTAAAGAGATATGAATGTATTCTCATTTTCAATCATTGTTGAAGACTCGTTACATCTATGCCGATTTTTATCATTCATACAGGGTATGTCACGACGATCTTACACTATCTTTATATCGAGAATCAGTCGGGAGAAATCCATGAAAATATGCATGCGTGCTTATAATTTAGAATACGCTCTCCTCATTTAAAATATTTTCGACAATGCAGTGTTGCCGCTTCTACTAGAAAGTAGTAGCAATAATGATATTTCAAATGGAATACCCTGTATTCTATCGCATTTGTAGATTCTCCCTGAACAGCTGATTTCATCTATGCATCACACTGGGGTCTATCCAAAAAGATTTCAGAGTGAATCAAAAGTTGAGATAGGGACATGTGAGCCGTTTTGACCGATAATGAATAGTTTCGGCACAAAAAAATCCTAAATTTGAAAAATCTCGATTTTGAACACCCTATATCTCTGTAGTTATTTCCGATAGACCCCAAGTGTGATGCATCGATGAAATCAGGGAGCATGTAAAAATGCAATAAAGTACAGGGTATTCTATTTGAAATAACAAAGTTGTTGCTACTTTTTGATATAAGCGGCAACGCTGAATTATATATGAAAATATAAGCATGCATATTTTCATGGATTTCTCCCGACTGATTCTCGATATAGAGATAGTGTAAGCTCGTCGTGACACACAGGGTATAGTATATAGGTAGGTAATGTGTTTGAGAGAATAATGTTGTTTAAATGATTGATCGAAAGAGTGCTACTGTGTTTTTTTAAACCAGATGGATTCTTATTCATGAGCACTCCACCCTCTTTTTGAATCTGCAGTTTGAATGCCTACATAACAATGAAGTTTATCAAGATCCATAAAAAATATAAGGATTCAACAGGTGCGGTAAGTTGTTGACGTGGACACACTCTAAAAATGAAAAATCCGTCCATGATTTATTAGTCCTTTTAAGATATGTACAATTCGAATCTCTATTGAAAATGATATTGAACATTCCATTTTTTTATTACATGATAATTTACATCAATTTTTTGGAATGCATATTTTTTTATTGGTTGTTTTAGGTATTTAAAATGTTTGGCTGTATATAGCTGACTTGACAATGAGTATTTTTTTTATATAATTGATTTTTGAAAAATCCGTCCGTCTTTAAATTTATATGCACAAATTCAATGTTAATCCTTTTATACATTTTTTAATAAAGACATGACATGTTTCTTTCTTCATAGTTCTCTGTCCCAGAATGAATGAACAAAAATGTATTGATCTTGGAAAAATATCTGTGCCTACAGGTTATTGCTATATATGACTTGACATATTTAATATACTCACTACCACTACTACCAGTGAAATTTACACTATACGGGATGATTAACGTAAACGTACACTTCACGAACATCAGAATTTAATCTTATTTTGATTTCAAAAATATAATGTGCCTTGAAAAAATTATCCAGTTGAAATATAATGATGGGAAATGAGATTTCAATTTATAAAAGTGCATGGCCAAAGTACGAGATCACTTTGGTGTAGGGTGTGTCACAGTTTTCTTCTTAAAAACGATTATAGGGTAAACTTATCTCTGCCCCAATGACTTTCGAACCAAAAATTCTCATGTACGACTTGAACTACAAACTTTTGGCGCGTTTAACCTAAGCAGATGATGTGGATTGACGGAAATTAATTTAGAATGATATGAATTGCTTGCTGAATGATTTCAACACAGCTGATGAAAATTTCGAGTTGTGGAAACTGGAATTATTCAGGGTCCATACTGCATATACTTACACTCCAAATTGCATATTCCTCACATAAGTACAAAAAAATATATATTCTGCAAGGAGGGGAGGTTGTGAATAATGAATAATTCCTGCGTGGAGCTTTGGGCTTATAGGTATGAGAATGAACGTATTATGTGCTCTGAAACGTACTGGAACTTTGGTTTGTTGTGTCGGCGTGAAATTAATCATAAACAAAGTCCAGTCCGCTTCAGTACAAAAGCGTAGAAAGGCCACTGTTGTGTGTATTTTATTTTATTTCTGACAGTGACATTATAAGCTTATATCGTCATAGTTACGATATCTATAATGAGGGTCATAACTCCCTTGGGATGTTATAGATGCTATAATTCCCTCTAGCTAAAATTAAATAAGAAATGCATAGCAACAACCACGCAATAACGTAGCAATAAGGAATCTCCTATTCGCGGTAGTCAAGATCATCATCTGACGTTCTGATGACATTGAAACTATACGGAAAAACATGTCTAACTTCCAATCGGGAAGGTATCTTATGAATGAAATCAGTCAGAAATAAAATTATCTATGTATCACGGGAATTATAGAGCCTTAATAACCTCTGGCAATTGCTGTCCCTCGGACCAGAGGCCCTCGGGACGCAAACTTTGCCATCGGTAATTAAGGCCCTCATAATTCCCTTAATACATAAATAACTATTATTTCTTCATTCGGACTTTAAAGTCTGAATTAAGACTGTTTTCTCTGAATTCAGATTTTTTTCTCTAAATTCAGACTTTCTTCTCGAATTCAGACTTTTTTCTCTGAATTCAGACTCATACTACACACCATATTATTATATACCAGGATCATGAACCACCAAACCATTTTGATGAACTTAAATTTGTGATAAATTAAAAATTTTTACATTTTTGACAGGATTCAATATTTTTAGCATTACACCTGACAATATTAGTACATCAGACTCGATCAGAATAGTCATGACTCAATCAAATGGAAATTCAAAAATGAAATTAAAATCAATATTGAAGTTTGAAATGTCACTTATATGGTATCATTTGATTCAGAAAATGATGCAGAATTTGAAAATGCAAAATGATATACAGGGTGTTCCATTTGAAATTCGAAAGTTATTACCACTTCCGATGGGACACCCTGTATAATCGAAATTAACTTCTTGGTATGCGCCCTATTGTACAATTGAAGTCTGTAAAATATTAAAATCCTAACGCAACTGATAACTGCGAGGTAGAAGACGGGAGGTGAGATGCAGAGGACCCTGTATAAACTATATATTATTATATTCTCGTTTTTATATAGGGTATAAATATATTTGAATAAGCATCACATCATTCATTTTAGACGATTTGACTTACTGACCTGCATGTAATAAAAAAATTAATCATCAACCCCATGAAAACTAAATGACATAAAAGGTACTTCCTGAAATCAGTTTATTACCCTCGGTATTACCTAATGTGAATGTGTAATCAATGCATTCAATGCAAACAGTCTGAATTCAGAGAATATGAAGTCTGAATTCAGAGAAAAAAGTATGAATAAAGTAATAAAATAAAATACACACAACAGTGGCCTTCGTAATGGCTATCGGTCTTCTTTAGCGAGTCGAACTGTCGAACATTACGCTCCCAGCGTAATAAGCAAGCATGTCTATACAGGGTGATATGTCCCTGAATGGTGTGTACAAAATCTCAGCACATAGTCCTGAGGTCAAAATACGTCGATTCAAAGCAGCTTACTTCAGTCCGACATTGCCCTGTTTTCGAGATACAGGGTGTATGGTCAAATTTAAAGATAAAAATTTGCAAACATACTCCAAAAACCTGTTATGAAAAATCAATTATTTTCGCACTGCTCATTCATTGACCAAATTACATCCACGAAGATAACAGCTGACATTTTTTATCAATTCAAATATTCCGGTGCGGCATCAAACTCTAAAAACAAAGATATCTCGAAAATGGCACAATTTGGCGAATTTTCACAATGAAATGATGAATGGAATGAAAAAAGTAAAAAATACACTGAGAAAAAAGTTATGACCATACCAAACCATAAGAAGGGTATTTATAAGCGCCCTCTATTGGCTATAGTAAAAGGGTGTCGTATTCGGGTTTCGCATCCCAAAAAGCCCTCAGCTACTAATTTTTGGAGTGATACGTTTAAAAATGTTCATACAGTCCGAAAAATCCGAATTTCAATTTTTAACTTTAGCACCCTGTATCTCGTGAATGAAGCAATTTCAGACTGAGGTAAGTTACTTTAAATCGGCTTATTTTGACCTAAGGAATTTGTGTTGAGATTTCGTACAGACCTTTCAGGGACACCCTGTATACATCAACGCCTCAACGTGAAATAATTAAAATTTTATGTTGGCAACACTGGAAATGAGAAGAAGAGGAGAAGAAGACCATTAACCTTTTTTATATTCAGGTTAATATGATCTCCTTCTCATTTCCAGTGTTGTCAACATACAATTTTCATTGGTTCGCGTTGGAACACTGAAGACTAGGATAGACCATACGAAAAACATAGGGAAAGACCTCGGAAAGACATATTTTCTCTCTCTCGAAACTAGTTGAACGAGCTGCTGAACTTCTCTGTTCTGCACTGTAAACTTCAGGGTAACCGAGTTTCATGTTAAGGTGAATTCCCAATGCAGCTTTTTTGCTTTTCGCGTCGCGCGTCAAGCACTATAATTGGTGACGCGTAAATGGAGATTGCTGCACTGTTTTTTATTATTTGTTCAGTTATTTGTTCAGTTCCTAATGGAATTACCTATCCTTGTCGATGTAGTCCAAGGATTGAAGTGATCGAAGTTTGCATTGAAAAATCATGAGAATCTCAGAGAAGACTGAAAATATGAGATAATGCTTGCAAGATATACAAAGCTGCATCAGATGAGTGATTCATCGAAAACCGAAAATAGCATAGTGAAAATGAGATAACCTACTTCAAGCAGGGATACTGCAATGATTTACTTATCATGAGATCACTTTCTGAAATGAGGGTTTAATAAAGTTGCGTTCAAAATTTCTACATTTTCATGAAAAATCTTGTGTTGATAGAATTTATATTGCTTTGATGAATATCGAAAATCAAGGTTTTCTGGAACATAACCGCAACACAAAGTAGCAACGCCAAAAAGTTGGAAGTATTTCAACTTCATCGCGTCAAATATTTTTCGAATTCAGCGTCACCAATTAGGTTGCATGACGCGTAAAGCAAAAACGCTGCATTGGGAACTCACCTTTAAATGTCAAATGTACCTGTCATAACTAATCTAGGTTCTGTGATGTGTGGCATCTGTCAATTCAGTCAGGTGGTTGTTTTGTTGTTTCTTGTTATTCTTTGCCAATTTATCATTTCATGTGATATGACTTTTATGAGTTTTATGTTTCATGAGTTGTGCGGTTGTGCCATTTTGTCGTACTTTTTGTAGGTGACTTCATGACGCGTATTTGAATGATAGAGGACTTTATTATTAATATATTTTTTTGGATTCCCTAATTATTCATCTAATGAAGTATCAAGAAAAGCATATTTTCAACGGGAAATCGACATTCAATTCTCCAAAACGTTCGCGAATTTCGAATAGCCCGCTCGTAAATCGTGTTATGGCCGGTAAGTTGTGTTGCAACATCGCCGTTTCTCGCCTACTGTGACCCCGATGAGGGGATTTGTGAATATTTCTTGTGCAAAACAACTGTTTATTTTAGAGAAATCATGGAAGGTAATTTTGTTTTTCGATAGTGATGGCAATGCATCACGATTGCCTGGAGTTTATCAAACTACATCCACTCATGTGTTTTTTTGTTGTTTTGTTTGCATAAAAATTGCTTAACCACTGCCATTTCCACTCAAATTCATTTTGTTTCTCATCCCAAATATCCCAATATAAATTCTTTCATATCATTCATTATTTTGTTGTTCAGTAGTACCACTCTTGCTATCCATTCAAATTTCAAATCCTTTGTATTTTGGATGGGTCACAAGCATGTTCTCATACCAGAAGTGCCTGAGGAAGTGCCATTATTGATATGAACACAAGAAATATGTGATTACATCTCACTTGAGATGCTCAACATCATCTCAATCATCTAAGTATATCAAGATCTACATATTGACCTTATATTCACCATTCAATTGGAATGAAACAATTCATAAATAAAAAAAATGTAAAAGTATCTACACCTGTTGTAGGTAGGTATAACGTTTTTCTGTTCCCAAAATCCTTCAAAGATTTTCTGACTTGCATTCCTAGGTACTAGGTAGAGGTAGATATCAAATCTGATGAGATGAATATCATGTTATTCTGGTGAATCCACTAATATCATCACCATGTAGATTTGTCATATCATTATTCACATGTACCTTTTAGAAGAATGAATATTAAGTAAAATTAAATACTCAAACTGCCTTCACTAATTTATTTATCTGGAGTAATAAACAATAGATGGGTAACATTTTTCTACTTCCCATGGAGAGTTGACTGACTCCTGACTTCAGCTGAGTTTTCATAGATTTTCCCTCAGATTTTCCTATCATCCTGTTGAAATCTGTCAAATATTCCATAATTAATTCACCATTTTGCATGAACCCTAAATAATTCCTTCTGAAGTTGAATTGATTTTGACTTTTATTTCCTACCTACATAATATGGAAATATAAAAATTCCGAGAAATTCATAGGTATAAGTACATTACAACTTGGCTTATATATAGATATGCCCATATGATATGCCATAAGTAACTGCGAAATCTTGAGAAATTAGCAACAAGTGTTCAAAATTGATTTCAAGAAAATATATTTTTTTAATGTTTAACACTCCTCTAGTACTTACCAATTTTGACATGTTTAGGAATCTTGATTGTCTTGATGTTCTCTTGATAATTTCCCAGGTAATTTCCCATGGAATCAGAGGAATCACCCTGTATAGGATTTCTATGCCTGCAATTGATAAAAATGTTACTGGGGGTGATTTCAAAATATTGAGCACAGGGTATATGCAGTGGGATGATAATTTATAACCTGCTGATAAGTTGAATGACAACCAGGAGAAACAGGTCGATTTTTATTTTAAAATGTCCACATTTATTAATGAAAATTAATTATACAGGGCCATTCACGGAGTTCTAATGTTCATGACAATTTTTTTAAAAGGAACACCCTATATATTATTCAATTTTTGGAATCTCCGAGGAAAACTGAATTAAAAAATGCTGTATGTCCTGCCTTTTATGAATACACCCTAAAATTGTAGTTATGAAGGAGTTTATGAATGATGCGATTTTCTTAAAACTTTTGTGGCGATTGAATGTTATGGCTAATGAAGAATTTGGCATAGTGAACATTTTTATTTACCATTGGCGTGCGATGTTGCAGGGGGTGAAAAGGGCCTTTATTTGGGAAAAGGATTCAAATAAAGAAAAGTGAGGTTGTGTTTCAATGTTTTACAGAAAAGTGTGGTTGTGTTTCATTGTTTTACCTCCAGGGTGGACATAACCTATAAAATAGTTATTTATTATTCACGTCACGGTAGCCAAATTCATCATCTGACCTTTGTGATGATATGAAAACTATGGAAAAACATTCCTAACTCCTGCTGGAGCTCCTGGCTTCAGGGTTGGAATAAGTCATGACTTTTATAAAAAAGTCATCAAAGTCCGACTTTTTGAATTAAGTCAGACTTTTTTGAATTAATTCATTGGAAAAGGTAAAACAAACAAATTTCATTTACCCAAAGCAAAATAGAAAGAAATAAACAAAAAAACTATGTTTTTATTCCCTTCAGAAATCTTGTAGAATAATAACATCATAATAGGTATAACATGTCATTTTTTCAAAACAAAATTAAAAGTGATGAAAGAATACAAAATAATAGATACATATAGATCCAGTATCATCCGTAAAAGTTCGTAACACATGGAGAAAAAGTTTATTAGTTGAATATGGAAACATTTTTTCTCGGGGATCTATTATGCATGTCTGACTACTTAAAAGTCGATTTTGACACATGTCACTTGATCACTGGTATGGCGGTGAATTCAAAAAATTACGATGGCAAAAAGTGGGGTTAGATGGGAAGATGAAGTTATTTAAAAAAAATAAAAATAGCTATTTTCAGTATTCTCAAATAATGGCTGGAAACTCCATAATATGTAAGCATGAAATTGCTCAAACTAGAAATGTTTATGGATATTTCGTTATCTAACCCCACCTTTCGTCGCTTTATAGTATTATTTTTATTTATCACTATACCAGTGATCACGTGACATGTGTCAAAATCGATTTTCAAAATATCGGATATGCATAATGGATCGCCGAGAGAAAAAAATTCGATGCTGTGATAATAAACCTGTTCTCATATGTTATGGACATTATTGATGATACTTGATACTGTATATATCTGTTAGTAAAAATCTCTGTCATGCTTGAAATAACAAGGTCTTGCTAAATTACGATCGAATTTGATTTGAACTAGTTAAAATCAAAGGTAATAGTGCAAATTGTCTCATTTTTAAAAATTTGAATTAATTCATGACTTTTTCGAAAAAAGTCAATGGAATTAATTCACGAATTAAATCACTGATTTAATTCATATGAAGGGGGGCAACCGAATGACGGATAGAACAAATTTTAGAACAAAATTTTAGAACAAATTCATGTCAACCCTGCCTGGCTTAGATTGAAAGTTAGACATGTTTTCATTGTTTTCCCGTAGTAATTATGTCCAAAATGCAATATTTTTCCCGTGTATAATACACTATTTTTTCTGTGACAGAAAAAAGGAGGAATCAATATTGAGAAGATACTATATTATAATAAAATCAGAAAATTATCTAACGTGAAATTTGAAGTTTTTCAACAGGAATGACACTTGCTTTTCAGGCATCTTTTTGAAGACACCTTGATCATTCTTTTGAAGTAATCAAAATAAATATCCTCGTAAATATCTATCAGTCTAGTTCTGTGCTTAGTAAAAATAGTGAATGTAGTCAGGGCCTACTTGGTAATTTAGGTAACCTGGAAGTTGAATGGAAGATAAAAGGACTTGCAGTTATTTCTCGGAGACGGTGTTATTGACTTATTTTTCGGTAATATAGCACACCAAAAGTCATCAACAGTGTTTATATGTGATATGTGATATACAGGGTGATCCACGGTGGATGGCCTATTAGAAGTATCTGGAGAACGAAAAGACAAGACATTCTGAAAATCGAGATGCTGTGATAATTGAACATTCTCTATCCCTCTAAAATATTTTCGTCGATACAGTGTTGCCACTTCTAGCAGAAACAACTAGCAACTTCGTTATTTTAAATGGAGCGCCCTGTATTTCATTACATTTTAAGATTCTTCCTGAAGAGCTGATTTCATCAATGCATCACACTTGGTGTCTAGCAGGAATGATTACAGTGATATGTGTTCAAAATCGAGGTTTTTCAATGTTAGTATTTTTTTATGTGGAACCTATTCATTATCGATCAAAACGGCTTACATTTCCCTATCCATTGAAGGGCCATAAAGATGTATTTTACTTAACGATCAATTACACCTCAATAGTTCACCACTGTTGAATTTGTTTTCTCAGTAGGTAATAATACAGGGTGTCTGTAAAAGTCCTTACAACAACATACCACATATTCCCTAGACCAAAATAAGTCGATTTAATTAAAATTACCTTAGTACAAAGTTGCGTCGTTTGGGCTCCAGAGAGCCTTGAAGTTACAATTTTTAAATCGTTTTTCCCATATGAATTCAAAACGGCATATGCGATTTTGCTGAAATTTGGTATATTGATAGAGTTTTATGTGGCAAAAAAATGGTGTTAAAATTTTGTACGATAATAATACATAGGCGTAGAACTTGATTTTTTAAATAATTGCACCTTTAAAATTCTACGCCAATGGAAGAAGAGGAGTTTGAGTATGGAATTTAGATTGCGCAACTCATTTACTTTAAAAAAAGTACTCTTGGTAAGACTCGATTGCTCTCATGGTTTTGACGAAATTTACATTTTAGTAATTTTAGAACATAATTATTAAAATACAAACTTTGTCAAAACCATGAGAGTAAATCGAGTGGTATCAAGGGTACTTTTTTGTAGTTAATGAGTACCCAATCCAAATTTCATTCTCAAACCCCTTTTCTGCCATATATACTTGAAAAATCATATTCCTCCGTCTCTCGCTGCATTTTTTGTGTATTGCACAACAGCACAATGAGAATGCATGCTTGAATTAATGAATTCGCGAAATTCACGAAGTGGGCGACATCTAGGTTACATAGTACGAACTTCAAACTGGGGGAAAACAAACTGTTGTCTATGGATAAAGTGCATAGACTACATTGCATTCAGCTTGCTGTAGCTGTAGTCAAACTTGTCAATGACATAAAGTGTTGGCACTGTTGGTAGTGATGATGGTTGAGTTGGTTAATTTTTTTACATTATTACATTTTTATTAGTGAACAGTGAACGGGTGAAGAATTGGAGATAGTTTAAACAATTCAAACTAATTATGACGAGCAAATAAATTGACATATAAAAGAACAGCTACAACATGTTTACAATACCCAGATTGTCCTGCTTTGCAGGAACAAATACAAATTCATTGTTCTACAGGAGTTCCTCTGGACCCCAACTTCAATTTTACTTCATGTGGGGAAGATTTCATCGCCGAAGTTTGTAGACAAAGTGCAAAAATATGCCTTTTGTTGAAGTCTTCTGCCTCACACAAAATTACATGATTAGCACGGAGAACTGCTTCTCCTTGCACTACTGGTCGGCTTTTTCGATCTAAATAGAGCAAAATATCTGCCAAAAGAACATCTGCAACATGCGTTTTCGATCGAATATTGACAATTTATATCAAGCAATTTGAAAACTTATCACTCTTATCAGCACACAGTACACAAGCTAATGGCACTAATGGGATTGAGTGAGGATTGAGTTTGTTTTCCCCCAGTTTTGAGTTGGCTTTGACATGGAACGATGAAAACCGAGTGCCACCTGGTAACATTGATTTTCGCGAATAGCGTAAAAAACACGATTCTCATGCCAAAGTATTGTGAAAAACTATTTCAATCCTTTGATTCCTCTGTAAACAAATAAAAAAGTTGTGTTTCAATGTTTTACAGAAAAGTGAGGTTGTGTGTTGTGTTTCAATATTTTACCTCCAGGGTCAGTCATCGTGCACGCGACCTATCAGGCGCTACAGTGGAAATTGAAAAGACAAAGATTATTGTAATATAGAAAATAAAAAAGGACAGAAGTGCAGCTGTGTCCGAACTCTTATCCAACTAATACCATCTAGTGACTCTAGACATGACAAGTCTCACTCTAGACTGTAGTAGGGTCCCTTGATGGAAATTGACGTAAAAGTCATCATAACAGGGTACGGACAGATCATAGCTGCATTCTTTTTTAATGATCTAGAGACTTTAGTTTTGTCTACTGGCATCCCTGACATTGCTGTCACGTCACATCCATGGGCGTTACAGGAAATCATTCAAAATTTTAATAATAGGTATGTACAGGGTATTTAGTTGTTGAGGAAGATCTCAGATCATATGGCGAACGAGTTTTGTCATTATGATCCGATTCTATTCAAAATTGGAAGGTATCTGGGGTTTTCCGGAGTTGGAGATAATGATTGTTTCGTCGAACTTGGAAAATTCAAGATGACGGATCCAATATATAGCGAAAGAAATTTCTAATTATGATCAGATTCTATTTAAGATTGGTATCTGAGGGTTTTCGGGGTCGAACTTCATGATGATCCAATATGGCGAACGAATTTTGTAATTATGATCCGATTCTGTTCAAAAATCAAAATTGGTATCTGGGGATTTCCGGGATCGGAGATTATAATTATTTCGTCAAAATCGGGATATTCAAAATGGCGGATCCAATATGGTGAACGAGTTTTGTAACGAAGATCTGATTCTATTCAAAATTGGTATCTGGGGGTTTTCGGGGTAGGAGATAATGATTGTTTCGTCAAAATAAAAAAATTCAAGATGACGGATCCAGTATATTGTATTCTTTATTTCCCTGCACATTTTACGTATCACTTTTCATCAGCCTACTTTACGTCCCAGACGAAGTTTTATACATAATGTGATATTAGTCACTCCATAAATTCTTCTCCGAATTGGATTTCCGAAAATATATTCAGCACATATGACATGAGACATGAGTACAGTAGTTAAGATACCCACATCAAGGTTTCCACCATTTCTCAATCATAAGGCTCAGTTCATTCAGCTCATAGATAAACTTCTGCTCAGCTTGAAATCAGAATTCATTTAGTCAATTCAGTCAACCCTGGTATACAGTCTAATAACAGTCTCTTTTGCTGAAATATATTGAGCTTTTAGTACAATTTATATGTTTCCTACCTCGCAGAGATCATGCTGGATTAGTAAACTCTAAAACTAGAGGATTGTTCATCTATATCTTCGTATAGTTGAATCAGGAATTCTATATGGAAATTACTTATGATACGCCAGTGACCTCAATGTAACCTAAAAAACAACGAATGTCAGAAATCTAGTGTTTATCCCCAGAATTGAATAAGGATGGAACTATATGATTGTTTCACAAACACTTTAAAGTGAGAGGAGACGAGGATCTGTCCGTACCCTGTTAAGATGACTTTAACGTCAATTTCCATCAAGGGACCCTAGACTGTAGTAGGGTCCCTTGATGTTAATTGACGTATTTGTCATCCATCCAGCAGATTGATACAGCCCGAGATACAGCCTAACGCAGCACCATTTACCATCATTCCAAAACAGAATTGAATAATGTCGTATTAAGATGAAGTATGAAATTAAAATTTTGTAAGATCTCCTTTAACGCCTGTGAATGTGACGTGACAGCAATGTCATGTCAGGGACGCCAATACACGAAACCAAAGTCACTAGATGATTAAAAGAGAAAGGAGCTTTGATCTGTCTGTATCCTGTTAGATGACTTTAACGTCAATTTCTATCAAGGGACCCTAGACTGTAGTAGCCCTAGACAGAGTAAATCAATCGACCATTCTCCTGCAGGTAATGGGGATGTCCAGTGGAGTTTTTCCCAAGTGAAGGGCACGTTGGACGATGACGTCACCGAGGCCGACATAATATCGTGCGTGGAGTTCAACCACGACGGCGAGCTGCTCGCGACGGGCGACAAGGGCGGCCGGGTGGTCATCTTTCAGCGCGACCCCGTCTCGAAGACGGCGCTGCCCAAACGGGGCGAGTACAACGTCTATTCGACCTTCCAGTCGCACGAGCCCGAGTTCGACTACCTCAAGGTAACGGGACCACCATTAAGCTAGCAGAATCACTTTTTATTTATTTATGCACTAGCGGGCCGTAAAGTTCACTTTACCGCCCGGTTTTGCGGGCGTTAAGTCGCACTTTACCGCCCGCGGGCTCATTATGGACCACGGGCCGTAAAGTACACTTTACCGCCCGCTGTTCTCAGTCACTTTATATCCACATATCAATTTATGAAAAACCTATGATCATATTCCTAGATTCTGATATATCGAGCGGTATATCATAAACTTCTTCTTCATCCGATTCCATAGTCTCGCTAATATTATTATTATCACTGATTTTACTTTTCAATCAAAGTATGACAATTCAGCTCGTTTATTGGATGTATTGCTATAGACAACAACCATCAGATTGATTGACAACGTCAAAATAAGTTAGGTTTATATACTGGGTATGCATATTGTAAAATTCTGAAGAATGAATCTCTTCTAGAGCTGAAAGAGTTTTACTATTACGATAATTGCAATATTCGTATGATAATTTTCATATGTAAATCATCCATGAACATTACGCTTCTCTTGATTACTGAATTTATATGTAACAAATTAAATCCTGGGGAATATTAGTTTATAGGAATCTATAGTCATTACTTATGAGTCAGAAAATAAACCACTAGTGCATAAAATTTTGTATGTATCTCGTGCGTGAAATGCGTTTATGGCCTTCAGCGTGTAATGGCCGTCGGCTAGCGCCATCGGGCCATTATTCACGCCACAGGCCATAAACGCCTACTTTACGCCCTTGATACATAAATAACTATTATTTATTTGTTCATTGAAAATGTGACTTCCAGTCAGAATCAAGTTCTGGTATATGGAAGAACTTATTTTTGTTGTAGTGGAATACATCATTTGAACTTTTGTTGTAGTAAATAATATCAATGGAGCATGTTTTCAGTTTTTGAAATTTCATTGTATCTAGTAATTTTTAAATACTGAATCCCATTAATTCAGTTCTATTGCAATGTAATGATCCTTGATAATTTTGTTTTCAATGGCTAGTTATGTTGTCATCTATTTGTTTCTTTAGCTATTCTTTAGCTATACTCTCCTATGTAATCCTTATCATCAGCTATATATTGAGACTAGATTCAGGATGTACGGTTGGGCAAAATTGGGCGTTTTCATAGGCTATCTCAGTAACTGAAGGAGTTATCAAAAAATCGATATACATGTTACGGGTACGATTTTAGAGAAACCTGGAATGGTACAATTGGAGTTTTGATATCTCCATTCGTTTCAGAGGTACAGGGGGAAATTGAAAAATTGCCGATTTCGTTTTTATTTTCTGAGTACTTTATGAAGAGAGATATTGAAAAATTTCAAATTTTTATCCATATAGAATGATGCGTAAGCCATTGGCATCATCAGAAATTTCATACAGGGTGACATCAAGAAGATACGGGAGTCAATTATTTTTTTCCAATGGAACACCCCGTATATTTTAGCACAGTTGGATAGTCCTTGGCATTCCATATTCAAATATATATATTAACCTACCCCTTTCTTCGACAACTTGAAAAATATTCGCAAAAATATACTCAATGTGTCACATTTCTCATGGTTGCACCTCTGTATCTTCCGTAATAATCATTGAGGTAGGATTCCGACATTCGCAGCTGTGAGAGAGATGCCAATGAGTGATCATCTCCAGTGATACCACTGCTCGCCAGCAGCTATGGAAAATGCTATAAAGAGGCAGAATATAGGTTGAAAATGATACTTTCCTTGATTCTCTCTCTGAACATTACAGGATATCCCTTTTCGTGGGAACCAGAACATAAAAAAAGGCCGTCTAAGGGGGAAGAAAAGGGGTCGAAGAACAAAAAATCATTATCTCCGTTAATACTCGTTGAACATTAATTTTGAAGGCGGTAAACGAATCTACTGATCTAGTTTGATAGGAAGGTGGTCAACTAATTGTTCGTCAGGCCGTCCAAGAGGGAAGAAAATGGGTTGAAAAACAATAAAACATGATGTTTTTTTTTTGTTTTTCAATTCCTTTTCTTCCCCCTTAGACGGCCTGACAAACTATTGTTTCACTACGCAACTGTCAAATTCGATCAGGAAATTCGTTTTGTCGCCTTCAAAATCCATGTACATCGAGTATTGACTGAGATAATTTTTTTTTGTTTTTCAACCCCTTTTCTTCCCCCTTAGACGGCCTAACAAACTATTAGTTGACCACCTTCCTATCAAATTCGATCAGTAGATTCGTTTACCGCCTTCAAAATTCATGTACAGGGTGAACAACTATGAACGGCTGTCGGCCATATCTCAGCAACGAATAATAATACAAGTTTGAGATAGAATAAATCCAATGGTATGCATATCATTTCACGATGTAATATAGAAACTGAATCTCAACAGACCAATTACTATTATTACCATTTTTTTTTGTGACGAGAAAAAAGTTTTACACTTCATCTCTGTTGACAGGTTATATCATGTCACTTTACTTTTTTCCCGTGGGAAAATAGTGAGTACTTACAGACAAATAAATATTTTTCTATATTAGGAGAAATCCTAAAATGAAGACTGATTATTTTCATTACTATTATTATTATTATTATTATTTAAGAGCCTGGAGATCGAAGAAAAAATCAACAAGATAAGATGGCTCAGGCGAAAGAACCCCGCCCACTTCCTGCTCTCCACCAATGACAAGACGATAAAGCTGTGGAAGGTGTCGGAGAGGGATAAAAGAGTTGAAGGTAATGAAGCAGGTAACGAGAACTTGAAAACATGTTAATTAAACATTGTCATTGGCACCAGGTCGCGTGACCATCCTGACCTCCAAAAATCGAAATCTTTTAGAGCTTAGACTTATATAGGGCAACATAGCTTTTATGTTTGCCAATGTTTTTATAACTTTTTAATTGATCTTATTATTTATCTATTTATTTATGTGATTTTTTCAAATTATTTTATTGATACTTGTCATTTTTTATCATATCATATACGTTTGTCATATATATTGATATATATTACAGATACTAATTATTTTTATCACATTTTCAAAATTACCACTATATTGTATTTTAATATGTTAGTATTGATACTTTACTGTGCTACTTTTCCTTGCCCTGCTGACCTGCTATAAACATACTTGTATGTAACATAGTTAAATAAACTCTATCTATCTATCTATCTATCTATAGTCCAAGAGTCGTCTGAAAATTTCGACCGTCATCTGATAACGAAAATAATTATGAATACCTAGTAGATGTAATAAATATAACTTGAGTGCTATTTTCATTGCTCCTATTATTATTCATCTTTTGTTTTTTTTATATAAAAATGGTGCAACCGTTGAAATAAAGAAATAAATATTATTCCGGACATACTTCCGTGATGTGAAGACAAGTTCTTCTGTGAAACATTGAAACACAACCTCACTTTTTTTATTTGTTCACAGAGGAATCAAAGGATTGAAATAGTTTTTCACGATATTTTGGCATATGAATCGTGTTTTTTGCATGCCTTCTCATTGTGCTGTTGTACAGTGCACAAAAAATGCAGCGAGAGACGAAGGAATATGATTTTTCAGGTAAATAGTGATCTCACATAGCTTTCATTATGAAATTTTGTCATTTCTCATTAGCATTCCTTCTGTCACTTCTGCAATAGAAGCTAGTAATACTGCTAATAGATTGAAAATGTCAACAACACACACGATCATATTTCGTCAGCATGTCAGACCAGTCCTCCCGTTTGATTGCATGAATCCAGTCTTGCATTATTTCAGAAATTTCACGAGTATTTCTATTAGCTCCTATTGCAGAAGGAATTCCGATGAGAAATCAGAGAAATAACTAGATTTCAAAAATGAAAATATATGTGAGTGATTATAGTAGGTACTTACTTTCAAATCATAATGTACCAACCGGATTCCTTCGTCTTACGCTGCAATTTTTGTGCATTGTACAACATCACAATGTGATGGCATGCACGAATCAATGAATAGTCGAAGAACATGATTTGTATGCCAACATAATTGTGAAAAACTTCAATCACTTGTAAACAAACAAGAACAGTGAGGATGTGTTTCAATGTTTTACCTCCAGGGTCGGTCATCTGACAGTTCTTGCACGCAACCCATATGCCGTTCTGGCGTTTGCAGGTTATAACACGAAAAACAAATAACTATTCTGTACATGCCGTTCTGACGATTGCAGGTTATAACAACACGATATTCAAATAATATTCATTCTGTATTTGCCGTTCTGGCGATTGCATGTTATAACACGAAAAACAATTTACTATTCTGTATATGCCGTTCTAGCGATTGCAGGTTATAACACGATATTCAAATAATATTTATTCTGTATTTGCCGTTCTGGCGATTGCATGTTATAACACGAAAAACAAGTAACTATTCTGTATATGCCGTTCTAGCGATTGCAGGTTATAACACGATATTCAACTAATATTTATTCTGTATTTGCCGCTCAGGCGATTGCAGGTTATAACACGAAAAACAATTAACTATTCTGTATCTGCCGTTCTAGCGATTGGAGGTTATAACACGATATTCAAATAATATCTATTCTGTATTTGCCGTTCTGGCGATTGCAGGTTATAACACGAAGAACAAATCACTATTCTGTATTTGCCGTTCTGGCGATTGCAGGATATAACACGATATTCAAATAATATCTATTCTGTATTTGCCGTTCTGGCGATTGCATGTTATAACACGAAAAACAATTAACTATTCTGTATATGCCGTTCTAGCGATTGGAGGTTATAACACGATATTCAAATAATATCTATTCTGTATTTGCCGTTCTGGCGATTGCATGTTATAACACGAAAAACAATTTACTATTCTGTATATGCCGTTCTAGCGATTGCAGGTTATAACACGATATTCAAATAATATCTATTCTGTATTTGCCGTTCTGGCGATTGCATGTTATAACACGAAAAACAATTAACTATTCTGTATATGCCGTTCTAGCGATTGCAGGTTATAACACGATATTCAAATAATATTTATTCTGTATTTGCCGTTCTGGCGATTGCATGTTATAACACGAAAAACAATTAACTATTCTGTATATGCCGTTCTAGCGATTGGAGGTTATAACACGATATTCAAATAATATCTATTCTGTATTTGCCGTTCTGGCGATTGCATGTTATAACACGAAAAACAATTAACTATTCTGTATATGCCGTTCTAGCGATTGGAGGTTATAACACGATATTCAAATAATATCTATTCTGTATTTGCCGTTCTGGCGATTGCATGTTATAACACGAAAAACAATTTACTATTCTGTATATGCCGTTCTAGCGATTGCAGGTTATAACACGATATTCAAATAATATCTATTCTGTATTTGCCGTTCTGGCGATTGCATGTTATAACACGAAAAACAATTAACTATTCTGTATATGCCGTTCTAGCGATTGCAGGTTATAACACGATATTCAAATAATATTTATTCTGTATTTGCCGTTCTGGCGATTGCATGTTATAACACGAAAAACAATTTACTATTCTGTATATGCCGTTCTAGCGATTGCAGGTTATAACACGATATTCAAATAATATTTATTCTGTATTTGCCGTTCTGGCGATTGCATGTTATAACACGAAAAACAATTTACTATTCTGTATATGCCGTTCTAGCGATTGCAGGTTATAACACGATATTCAAATAATATTTATTCTGTATTTGCCGTTCTGGCGATTGTATGTTATAACACGAAAAACAATTAAATGTTCTGTATATGCCGTTCTAACGATTGCAGGTTATAACACTATATTCAAATAATATTTATTCTGTATTTGCCGCTCAGGCGATTGCAGGTTATAACACGAAAAACAATTAACTGTTCTGTATATGCCGTTCTGGCGATTGCAGGTTATAACACGATATTCAAATAATATTTATTCTGTATTTGCCGTTCTGGCGATTGCATGTTATAACACGAAAGACAATTAACTGTTCTGTATATGCCGTTCTGGCGATTGCATGTTATAACATGAAAAACAATCAACTATTCTGTATATGCCGTTCTAGCGATTGCAGGTTATAACACGATATTCAAATAATATTTATTCTGCATTTGCCGTTCTGGCGATTGCATGTTATAACACGAAAAAGAATTAACTGTTCTGTATATGCCGTTCTGGCGATTGCATGTTATAACACGAAAAACAATTTACTATTCTGTATATGCCGTTCTAGCGATTGCAGGTTATAACACGATATTCAAATAATATCTATTCTGTATTTGCCGTTCTGGCGATTGCATGTTATAACACGAAAAACAATTAACTATTCTGTATATGCCGTTCTAGCGATTGCAGGTTATAACACGATATTCAAATAATATTTATTCTGTATTTGCCGTTCTGGCGATTGCATGTTATAACACGAAAAACAATTTACTATTCTGTATATGCCGTTCTAGCGATTGCAGGTTATAACACGATATTCAAATAATATTTATTCTGTATTTGCCGTTCTGGCGATTGCATGTTATAACACGAAAAACAATTTACTATTCTGTATATGCCGTTCTAGCGATTGCAGGTTATAACACGATATTCAAATAATATTTATTCTGTATTTGCCGTTCTGGCGATTGTATGTTATAACACGAAAAACAATTAAATGTTCTGTATATGCCGTTCTAACGATTGCAGGTTATAACACTATATTCAAATAATATTTATTCTGTATTTGCCGCTCAGGCGATTGCAGGTTATAACACGAAAAACAATTAACTGTTCTGTATATGCCGTTCTGGCGATTGCAGGTTATAACACGATATTCAAATAATATTTATTCTGTATTTGCCGTTCTGGCGATTGCATGTTATAACACGAAAGACAATTAACTGTTCTGTATATGCCGTTCTGGCGATTGCATGTTATAACATGAAAAACAATCAACTATTCTGTATATGCCGTTCTAGCGATTGCAGGTTATAACACGATATTCAAATAATATTTATTCTGCATTTGCCGTTCTGGCGATTGCATGTTATAACACGAAAAAGAATTAACTGTTCTGTATATGCCGTTCTGGCGATTGCATGTTATAACACGAAAAACAATTTACTATTCTGTATATGCCGTTCTAGCGATTGCAGGTTATAACACGATATTCAAATAATATTTATTCTGTATTTGCCGTTCTGGCGATTGTATGTTATAACACGAAAAACAATTAAATGTTCTGTATATGGCGTTCTAACGATTGCAGGTTATAACACTATATTCAAATAATATTTATTCTGTATTTGCCGCTCAGGCGATTGCAGGTTATAACACGAAAAACAATTAACTGTTCTGTATATGCCGTTCTGGCGATTGCAGGTTATAACACGATATTCAAATAATATTTATTCTGTATTTGCCGTTCTGGCGATTGCATGTTATAACACGAAAGACAATTAACTGTTCTGTATATGCCGTTCTGGCGATTGCATGTTATAACATGAAAAACAATCAACTATTCTGTATATGCCGTTCTAGCGATTGCAGGTTATAACACGATATTCAAATAATATTTATTCTGCATTTGCCGTTCTGGCGATTGCATGTTATAACACGAAAAAGAATTAACTGTTCTGTATATGCCGTTCTGGCGATTGCAGGTTATAACACGATATTCAAATAATATTTATTCTGTATTTGCCATTCTGGCGATTGCAGGTTATAACACGAAGAACAAATCACTATTCTGTATTTGCCGTTCTGGCGATTGCAGGTTACAACACGAAATCGGAGAGCGGTTCTCTGATCGACCCGGTCACAGTCAGCGCCCTGCGAGTGCCCATCATCAAGCCCATGGAGCTGATGGTGGAGGCCTCGCCCCGAAGGATATTCGCCAATGCCCACACCTACCACATCAACTCCATCTCCGTTAACTCGGACCAGGAGACGTATCTGTCGGCGGACGATCTGCGGATCAACTTGTGGCATCTAGAGATCACCGATCAGAGCTTCAATATCGTCGACATCAAACCGACGAATATGGAGGAACTAACGGAGGTAATAGATTTGTATTTCAAGGTGGCAAAGGTATCCATTTCCTCCCAATGAACTCAATATAAACACCTGGAAGAGAGACGGCCGTTCTCTCGAATAGCACAAAGTGTGTCAGGGGCAGCTGCAACAAAGATCCATGTTTTACGGTAACCTGTCTCTTTTCTACTCGTGTTGTTTAATGGTGGATTGGTGTTTACGTTTTCTTTTATCTTATATATAAGGTACTTTAGATTTTTTTCTCTCATCTAAACAGGCAAGAACGTGAAGACATAAGTTCATTGTCTTTGGTTATCTGAAATATCTATTCGTTTAGCGTGTTTTGTTTCATCAAAAGGACTGAACTGATTATTGAGAAGGTTTGTGATTACATATTGATAAACAGTGGTGATTTATTGTGTCGCCTTTGGATGCAAGAACGAGCAAGACAAAAGGAAATTGTCATTCCATGGGTAAGTTGAATATTGTTCAGATTTTTTGAAAATATAGTTCTTGAAATGATCATCAGTTAGGTATACAATGTTCCCAGTCTCAGAATAATATGTTCAAAAGCTATACCTATATTATTTGTCAAAGTTGAATACTTCCATGACTTTTCCATAAACATATTGAGTAATATTGTTTGATGCAGTTTTCCATTCAAAAGAGCAGACATTCTCGAGTTATGGATTAAGGCAGTTCATAGAGAGAATTGGGCTCCATCTAAAACCAGCAAGCTTTGTGGATAGCATTTCCTGCCAACTGATTATTTACCTTAGACATACCAGGTACTGCTAGGTTATTGAACCCAGGTGCTGTTCTTACTCAGTATATTTTCATTTCCTATAAGCATTTGTTACCAAAAAATGCTGATCCTCGCAGGAAAATAGGAAAACTAGGAAAATAAGAATACTCATAACTAGTTGATTAATAATGAAAAAAAAGTATGTTTGCACCTCTTTGAAATGAAAATCTTGCTAGTAATTTATTTTCAGGATGCATCTGTGGACGTTCATGACTTGGGTCCTAAGGAAGATGTTTTTCATATTATGGACTTTGATTTGCCTACAACTTCCAGCTTTGCGTCTTGGTTAACTAACTAATATCACGACAGGAATGAATCATTTCCCACCTCTGTGTGTAATATACTATTTTTCAAATTCTAATAATAGGTCATAGATAAATAGGAACCTTTGGATTCTTCTGATAGTGCTGAGACATTGTGCTTCTCTCACCCTATACAATATATTGTGACATTTGACTAAAAATATATAATTTTAATTTTGTATTCATTTGACTTCCTAATCCTGTAAGAATAACAATGAAATTTCTTTTTTAAGTCGACAAAAAATTCAATAATAATTGTTCAATGATAATTGATTGCAACATTATACTTTTTTTCAAATGCATGTTTATATTTAATCACGTTTACTTCTAAATAAAAGCAAAAAACGAGAAAATATTTCAAATAATGCGAGCGCTTCCCATTAGCGATCATAAGATAGAGAGAGATAGGTATCCGTAAACACTGCGGGTTGCCTGAACAATATTTTTGCCTCACTCGTCGTTCACAGAGGGTCCCTTCCAGTTGTTTATATAGAGTTAATTGTTTCCTCCCGAGTGCGAAGTTTGATTGAATATACATGGGAGGAAATGACTCTTTGCTCCCATGGCATATACCTGGTGACACAGGAGACATGTAACAGCCCGTAGTTTTTTTATTTGGAGAGATAAAAAATTGAAATTCCCTAGGGTTATATAATCGATGATGGCGCTTTCCTTGAACCCAATGACAGTTCTTTTCAACCACCTGTTTGATTGGAAGTAGACCCAACTTTTTTTTCCCAAATGGCACCGTGTATATTTCTGTAGTCTATCTTATGCGCCTTAAAATTCTCTATTCAACAACGTATTACAATTTGATATTCGTTCATGAATTGGCTCTTAAATTGAATTTTATTGAAATACATGAAGTTACAGTAATACAATGGTATTTCGATGCTTGATAGGCTTAGAAAGAATATTTTCCATACTTTAATAGGTCCCAGAAGATTGCCAATAATTTCATCCAAAAATAACTCACGATATTAGGACGATACATCAATTATTACAACAATTTCAGTTTCATGTATCCAAATGGATGATCATATTATTTCTACATGGCAAAAATGAAAGACAAATAGTTTCTTCACAAGTAGTCAAATGAAAACATCTGAATTTCTATCTTAATTTTCTCAATATTTTTTTCCGATTATGTACCCCAAATTGTCTATAATACTGAAAACATAAACTATAATTTCCCTGCACATAGATTGGCGGTAATAGAAAAAAAATCTCTATATTATTCAATAAAAGTTTTCAACAAGTTACCAGAAAGAATTGAACCTCTTTCTTCTCCAAACGTTTGAAAAAAAATATATGGAAACTTCTAATAAACCTGGAGCCCTATTGCATAAGTGATTACCTTGAGGCAAACTTTGAAAAAATTTTTCAGTCATTATTTTTATGTTTCTATTTGTACTATACATTTTTGTGATTGTTTTAGAAGCCTATATTGTGTGACGCCCGTTCTTTCTACAACCTTTTACAGGTCTAGTGTTTGTACTTGGCTGTTTTTTCAAATAAAGATTATTATTATTATTATTATAAGTGATTATAGAAAACAATATTTGTGATGATTTCAATCCATTAATTGATGAATTCAGCAAAGTTGATATTTTGCAGGTTATAACGGCAGCTGAGTTCCATCCTGTCGAGTGCAACCTGTTTGTTTATAGTAGTAGTAAAGGAACAATTCGATTGTGTGATATGAGAGCGGCCGCCCTCTGTGATAGGCATGCGAAGCTGTTCGAGGAGCCGGAAAGCCCGACCACTAGGAGCTTCTTCTCAGAAATTATTTCCAGTATTTCCGACGTCAAGTTGTCGAACAACGGTCGGTACATGATTTCGAGGGATTATTTGTCCGTCAAAGTGTGGGACTTGCACATGGAATCCAAACCGATTGAAACCTATCCGGTAAGTCCAGGACCGCTTTCCGATAATGTTCGCAAAACACGGGTTTAGATTTCTATAAACAAGTAGGTAATTTAGCAAAATAGCTAATCACTCACATGTTACATCAGTTTGGTAACAGCTTCATTCACCATACAACTATCATGATCTATTTGCGATAGTTTAGCGATTAATAAACCACTTTTGATCACTATATTACAGTATTTTTCAGGAACACACTTCAGACACTACTCTCTGTCAGAGTTCCTAAATGTATTTGACACTGCTGTTTTGAGGTTTTTTGTATATAGGTCGCGTGCACGAAGACCGACCCTGGAGGCAAAATATTGAAACACAACCTCATTCTTCTGTGAATTATTGAAACACAACCTCACTTTTTTATTTGGTTACAGAGGAATCAGAAGGTTGAAATAGTTTTTCACAATATTTTGGCATACGAATCGTGTTTCTTGCGTTATTCATTAATTCAAGTATGCCTTCGCATTGTGCTGTTGTACAATGCACAAAAAATGCAGCAAGAGACTAGGGAATATGATTTTTCAGGTAAATAGTAATCTCACATAGTTAGCATTATGAAATGTTGTCATTCCTTATTAAAATTCCTTCTGCCTTCTGCCACTTCTGCAACACAAGCTAATGCTGCTAATAGATTGAAAATGTCTACAACACACACGATCGTCAGCATGTCAGACCAGTCCTACCGATTGATTGCATGAATCCAATCTTCTTGCATTATTCTAGAAATTTCAGGTATATTTCTATTAGCTGATCCTATTGCAGAAGGAATTCCGATGAGAAATCAGAGAAATATCCAAATTTTCAAAAATGAAAACTATGTGAATGACTATAGTAGGTACTTACTTTTGAATCATAATGTACCATCCGGATTTCTTCATCTTCCGCTGCAGTTTTTGTGCATTTTACAACAGCAGAATGTGATGGCATTTGCGAATTGATGAATATGCCAAAATAATTGTGGAAAACTATTTCCATCACTTGTAAACAAATATATTTTGCCTCCAGGGTCGGTCATCTGACAGTTCTTGCACGCGACCTATTAGAGTACGGACACTAGACAAGCACTGACAATCAGACATAACCACAAATAAATTGAAGGAAAAAGCGGGAGCTGACAGTACACGGACGTACATGGCATAAATTTCAAAGATTTGACAAATTGAGAGGATTAAGAGAAAGATGCAAGTTTGTGCAGTTTCCAACTGTGAGAACACGGGAAATCAATTCACTTCATTCGAATTTCCATGGGATAACGTAATTCTACAAAAATGGAAACAGAATATGATGCCGCCAGATTGGAATATAGGTTCAGGCCACAAAATTTGCGAGGTATTCAAATTTCTTGGTAGGATATAGAACATTTTTCAACGCATTTTCATCATGTACACTTCAGAACGGAAGATTTGATGTTGAAGAATAGGATCGTATTGAGAGAAAGAGCCGAACCCACAATTTATAAACTGAGCAAGTATCGAAAAGAACCTTATTCTAATTTAGAACCAACAAGAAACGAAAAACTTGCAGATAATGAAATACATTTTGAACATATTTTGAAAGAAAAAGACTTGATAATTGAATTTTTAGATCAGAAATATTCAAAAATCCAAGGTTTACAAGTGGAAGAGAGTGAGGAATTCAGGAAACAAATAGAAGATAAAAATAGAGAGTTGGAAAATAAGTTAAGGCAAAAAGATTTAGATACAAAAGTCAGAGTTAGTAAAATTCCAATTTAATGCCATGTCCTTCAGCCTTATCATTCAATATTTCAAGAAGAAATCATTTTCTAATCAATTTATCGTACCCTTTTACCCACTCGAGGAGAGTCTATGAACTCTCATACAAAAATCAAAGACAGATAAAGATATATGGATGTACTCTTCCTAGGACTTGTGGAGGAAGGAAGATGCGAGGATCCTTTCGCCAAGCGAAAAACATATTCTTGTTCTTGTGTGGCAAAACATATGATTTGCTTCAAAATCGTTTGTGGTTATGTTTGATTGTCACTGCTTGTCTAGTGTCCGTACTCTAATATACAAAAAAACGTCAAAACAGCAGTGTCAAGTACATTTAGGAACTCTACTCTCTATCAGCCATCTTTATAATTGAATAATCGGCACTAATTGCGTGAAATTTCTAAAAGAATGCAAGAAGATTGGATTCACGAAATCGAACGGAAGGACTGGTCTGACATGCTGACGAAATATAATCGTGTGTGTTGTAGACATTTTCAATCTATTAGCAGCATTAGCTTCAACTGCAGAAGTGGCAGATGGAATTCTAATAAGAAATTTCGTAATGAAAACTATGTAGGATAACTATTTACCTGAAAAATCATATCCCTTCATCTCGCTGCATTTTTTGTGTATTGTACAACAGCACAATGAGAAGGAATGCAAAAACACGATTCATACGCCAAAATATCGTGAAAAACTAGTTCAATCCTTTGATTCCTCTGTGAACAAATAAAAAAAGTGAGGTTTTGTTTCAATGTTTTACAGAAGAGTGAGGTTATGTTTCAATATTTTTCCTCCAGGGTCGGTCATCGTGCACGCGACCTATTCCTGCTCCTAGTGCATTTGTGGTTATGGATGTTTTTGTTCATCCGTCTAATGTACGCTGGTTCATCTTACTTCTTCTTCTCTTTCTATTCGTTTTTCATTTGTTAGCTATTCGCTAGCTATATTTGGTATTGGTATTGGTAGGTTGGATGGTGACAGATGCGCTGCGACCTAATTAGATCTATTGTGCCCCGTCTGCTCCTGCTATATCAAGGATTTCCTGTTCATAGCAGCCCCTCGAGATTCAATTCCTTCAGGAATTTGAGGATTTTGAGGGGGTTTAGCTGTGGTATTTCTTCCACAGTCAGCTGGTGTGTTCCCAGTATGCTCAATCTTTTGTTATGTACAGCGTCACACTCCATCAGTATGTGATGGGGTGTTTCTGGTTCTTCCTAGCTATATTCTTCAATCAGCTATTTTCAGACTAGGTTCAGAATGTACGTCTCATGAAAACAACTTGGACTTTATCGGTCGCCATTCTTTTCAGCATGGACATGAAACTGGAGAGTCCCGAACTTATTTTACAAAAATTCATCTGAAGGAAACTTCCCCATTCCAGGTGCACGAATACCTGCGCGCCAAACTCTGCTCGCTCTACGAGAACGACTGCATCTTCGACAAGTTCGAGTGCTGTTGGAACGGCACCGACACCGCCATCATGACCGGCTCCTACAACAACTTCTTCCGGACGTTCGACCGCTCGACGAAGCGCGAAGTAACCTTGGAAGCATCGCGCGACGTTGCCAAGCCTCGCACGGTGCTCAAGCCGCGCAAAGTGTGCTCGCAGGGCAAGCGGAAAAAGGACGAGATCAGTGTGGACTGTCTAGATTTCAACAAGAAAATTTTGCACACGGCCTGGCACCCCGCGGAGAACATCATCGCGGTGGCGGCGACCAATAACTTATTTCTTTTCCAAGATAAGTACTAGGCTAATTATTATTATTATTGAGAATATCGGTTCCTTTGTATGTTCGATCTTTGTTTGATGATCGGCAGTGTGACATTTTAGAAGTTAACATGCTGTGCCATATTACCGAGACCAGTATTGCCATCAGTCATAGTGGCAAGCTCAAATGGGTATTAGTGCACCTATTCTACACTCATCTCAATCAGCCCTATCTTCCCCTTGATACAAGCATGCAAACGTGAAATAACGTGAAAAAAGCGTCTTGCATACGTCAAAAACATGTAAAATACGTGAAAAAATCATCACGCGTGCCTTGAAAATGCGAAAAACAGAAAAATCGTAAGGCATGCTTGATGAAATTGTGGAAAATGTTGACAAAGCGTAAAAAACTTGTGAGAATCTTGACAAAAAGTCACGCGTACGCCAAAAATGTAAGAATGCCGAAAAAAGCGTAACATATGCCTCACACTTGTTCCTAAATCGTGAACTGAGCGTGTCGCATGCCTCAAAAACTAAAAAAAAACCGTGAACGAATAAAACTCAACATACGCATCACGCATTTTTCGAAAACGTGAATGAATGTCACATATACGCCAAGAAAGTGAAAACATGAAAACAATTCACATTGTCAGAAACCTGAAGTGGACGTGGAAAACATGAAAATTGCAGTCACACGTGTTCCTCAAATCTGAAAAAGCGACTTATAAGCATCAAAATCGTTGAAATAGCGTGATAAATGCATGTTTCATTGGTAAAACCAGTGCACACTCAGTGTATACATGTATCTTTCTGCTACACGTCAAAAAGAAAGATAGATATACACTGAGTGCATAAATACCGCACCAGTTCATGCCCAATGGAAACCGCTATAAAAAAGTTCAACAAAATTTGAATCTCTAAAAGCATGTATGCCCGAAGAATATAGCACAGATGTTTGGAAAACCTGAAAACAGTGTCAAAAGTTTGAGATCGTGGAAAATTGTGATGTATGACTTAAAACCTAACCTGAAAATATTTTGAAATCTCATGAGACGATTGTTTCATATTTTTTATGCATACATCACCCTAAAGAGGAAGGGACTGGTTGAAATGGAAGTGGTATAGGTGGACTACTTACCATCTTCATTCTACAATATGTTGAAAAAAATTAGGTATGGGGCTATTCCACGGTTATGGACACTGGTATCAACATTTGAAAAACATTTTGCTACAATCTATGAAATCTGATTATCTTGTGTTTTTCATCAGGAAGAAACTCGTTTCACCATTGCCTCCTTGTGTAATATCCAAAAGAACCACTCACATTTGTCAAAAATATTTTGAATTGATTTCAAAGGCGGTCATAGGAAAAACAGTTTAGGACTATCTAGCTTGTTTTTTTGAGTGCGTGCCATTTGAAAAAGTGGAACGAAAATGTCTGATTTGTAATTCTCAAATTTCAATAACACTACTGACCTGTGAAGGTTATAAATTGATTATTTTGCGTTAACATTCATTAGAATGGTGAGTCGTCGATTACATCTTGAGAAGTTATTCCACTACTCCCTTTTTCATTTTCTGTTGTGTTAACGCAAGCCATGTCAGTATAAATTATGGTGGTATCATGAAAGCCGCGGTGAGCAGTATAGGCAACACTGTACGAAAGGTCTCATGCCGGCCATTTGCACACATGATTCACGGCCTGTTAATGCAATGGAGTGAATTTGTTCAGTTTTCAAGAGTAAATAGCTCCGGTTTTGAATCATTTTCTAATTTCCAAGACAATTCTGGGTTAGGATATGACTGTTACAGAAGTTTTCACGCCTACTTCATTTTTTTGCATCTAGGTGGTCATGATCAGACGTAAACTTACTTAAGGACTTCAGGTCAGGTCAGAGTGTTTTGTTTTCCAAGAGGACTTGAAAAACATTGCTGTAAAATATTGTGCATCATTGCTATCCATGAGAAGTGCCTAAATCTTTTGAACCATTATATTGTGGTAATTCGCAATGGCAAATAGCAAATACATAAGAATTATTATACATTGCCAATCCCATCGAATGATCTGCCATTGTGTCAATTCTGACAGATTCAAATTCAGAAGTATAATTTTTTGCCGTTTCGTTATTCAAATCTTTGCTGCAAATATCATGTTGTGAGAAATTGAGTTTTTTAATCAATTTTCTTTTATTTCTAACTTAATATTCGACGAGGGATGTTCTGTAGGAATGGCTTCTTGTTTCAAATATTTGTATATTTGTGTTTTTTTTTTTCGAAAAAGTTTTGCATGGAAATGTTGCGAAGAAATACTTGCTGGAATATGAATGTGATGATATGATCGGTAAATACTGTGGAATGAGGATATAAGGAATATAAGGTACCATTATTTTCGGTCGACAGCAAGCTTCCCATCATCTTTTCATTAGGTCTCTATCCTTGGACAAACAGAAATATTCAATATCTGTGCCATTCATTTTATATTTGTTGGAATTTTCATAACCAGAAACAACACAAGTGAACATTTTGAAAGTATTTCATTTAATTTTCGAACATATTTTAATTGGCACATCAATCACAAAAACAAATAATAACAATGACAGTTATATCTCAGTTGACTTCATGCGTCACGAGTTTAAACTTTCTGTCGAGCACACCATCTTCTCCTTCCACTAAGGGTCGATGTAAAATGGAATTCTCTATCTAGGAAACAAAACCTGACCTGTGACCTAACCCCATTATTCCTCGCTATTATTTTATTATGGTTCAATTAGTTCAAAGCCTGGAACTGACGTTACATTAGCGCGGTTAGCAATGTTTGCGTATGTCGCCGTGGTCGCCAGTTTAGAGTAGGATTTCGGACCATCTCTTTGCGGTGTTGCATTTCTCTCACTGCGGCTTGTTATAGAGCCAGCTGTGGCGCTATCAATAATAATCAACCAAGACTCAGTTCACACTCCAATGGACAACCAAGCAGGCCCCCACCTTTGATATTGGCAAAATTTGAAATATTCTTGTAAGCCTTTAGTGGAACCCACTTTTTGACTAGCAATACTGATGGCCCTGGTCTAATTTTCGTTAGTCTCTACCTATTCAGATTCAGAATGAACAAGATATATCCCACTTTTTGTGGTCAAGACAATAATCATAAGAACATTCCTTGAAAAAAATACAAAAAATTTAGAAGAAATCAATGTTTAGTTGACTCATTTTAGTTTTAGAATCCAAAATATCTAAATGCCAACTCCAGGATATGAACAAAGAAATGTTCGCATTTTCTTTGGGTTTTTTA